TAATCCTGCACAAATCGACTGTTTGTTACAGAATCTGAACTTCTTCGGGACTTTTAGCAGCAGGAAACAAAGAGAGGAGGCTTTCTGACTTCCATATTTTATTTGAGTTGTGTCTAAGTCTTGTCTTCAGTTTGGAAACTGGTTCAAAGGTAAAACTTAACCTGTGAGACAGAACCTTACTGCAGCAGGTAACACTGTGTTTCCACTCCTTCAAACTGGAAGTTTTGTGTTTTTATTTTATTTTATTTATTCTAAAAGTCTTCTAAAACTAAAGGGTTTCTTCAGAATTTAACGATTAAAAACACTTTTTTCTTTGCTTCTGAAGAAATGACTAAAACCATGGCATTGGTTAAAGTTCTAGCTTTCCTTGAACTAATGGGCGGCTGTGGCAGAGTGGGTTGCCAGTTTGATTCCCTGTTCAATCCGTCTCAGTCGTTGTGTTCCTGGGCAAGACGCTTCACCCACCACATACTGAAGGTGGTCAGAGGGGCCGGTGGCTCCGGTGCATGGCAGCCTTTCAGTTTGGCCCATGCAGGGCAGCTGTGGCTACAATGTAGCTTACCACCATCAGTGTGTGATTAAGTGCTTTATAAGGTTTAAGGTCAAATTATCCTAAGCTGGGAGATGTTGGATTCGTTTGACTGTAAGATATTTTGGGACTGATTAAATCTAGTAGTTTCATGGACCGATCCTTCCTAAAGAAGGTGACTTTACTGTCATTTTTAAATTTATGCTCATTTTTGAGAAAGTCAGAAGCCATGCCAGTGGACTGAGGAAAGAAAACATGTAAATTGGTGAAATTCCCTGACTGCAGAGAGTACGGAGCGTTCTCCTTCTCCTGACCTGTGCATCACCTCCGAGCTCACACAGGCATCCTGACACCTGACTGATGTTAAGCATAGGCTCACACCTGAGGAACACAGATTGGCTTTCCTCTGGAACCGTCTCAGGGGTGCGAGGGGAGCTCTGTCCTCGTTGCCGTCCTCCCTGTGGGAGAACAGACAGGTGTTTTTTATGCAGGGCCATGAACTGCATAAACAGCTGTTCATTAGTTTGGACAGCAGAGGTCATTGGAACTCACGCTGAAAGCACTCAGAAATACTGTATGTGCTTAGTTATTCAAAAGCAAGGCGACAGGCTGGAGCTCATGAAATGTGGAATGATGGGATGTTTGCATCTGTTTAGCATTTTTGAAAAACCTCTGACGGCTGAGAGTGCCAGACCGGACTGAGCCCACTCAGGATGTGATGCTTGCATAAACCTGATAACTTTACTGCAACTCTCTGCTGCTCTGTCTGCTGTACAAATATCCCTCTAGTGACAACTTCATGAGATTGTGTGTAACGTTCATTCAAAGGTCTGATCACGTTTCACCATAAGATGGTTTTAGTCTAAAGCTGGTAGATATTTCATTCTAATAAACATATGGATCCCTTTGACTTGTTTTATCCTTACAATCTGGAATAAAAAGCTGTAGGTGTGTGTGTTTTGTGTAGGAGGAGTGTTGTAGATCCTAAATGTGAAACAACAAAAAGGAACACAATCTCCAGCACTGATTTTACAGTTTTTCTATTGATGTTAGCATCTCATCTTCTGRGAATTTGTTTTGCAGGGGTGGGCAGTCCTGGTCCTGCTATCCTGCAGGTTTGACTTGTTTCATCTGCTCCAGCACATTTGATTWGAATAAAGGGGTGATTACTAAGCTTCTGCAGAACTTGAAGAGGTAGTTAAATCACTGAATCAAGTGTGTTGGAGCAGAGAAACAAATAAAACATASAGGATRGCGGGCAATGAGGACCAGGACTGCCCACYTCTGCTAAGGTTCGCCTGTGCAGTCATTGGGATTTCTGCCTTTCACCACTAAACATCTCCACCATCCCACTCCAGTCACTCAAATATTCAGTGTGACTGATTTTGTCTATCAAAATTGAATTAATCTGACATGTTTTCCTTCAGAACTACATCTGTTTATAACAACAGGTTCTAAAGGTAAGAGGACATGTACTAGGGGTGCAATGAAACAGAAAATTCTCAATTCGGTTCGGTTCAATATTTTAGTCTCAGGATTCGATTTTTTTTCGATTTGAGCCCTTCTTAACTTGTAATTTATTGAAATAGATTATGAATATTTGTTCAACCTCAAAAGTACAGTTTTCAAATGACATGTTGCTGAAACAGCAAGTTTCAGTGGATCTGCACTCGACGGTGCAGCCTAGGTGTAGTCGAACACAGATCCACTGAGCCTTCAACACAGAGCATCTTCAGAAGACATGTTGATAAAATAAACTTTAAAAATCGTATTGCTTGATGCATAGTGTGTATTTAACCTACAGCACTGTAGTGAATATTTCGATACAGATTTATGTATTGTTGCACTAGGATGTACCTGATAATTACCTGATTTTAAAAGTATCAATACAGAATACTTACAGGACATTTACAGGATRCATACCTGTTACTGACATGGTATCTGTTTTTCAAGGAGACGTACCTTTTACTTAGTTAGTACTTCTTGGAAAAATTTCCAGGTACACACTGGTACAAAGCCCGTAAAGTTCAGAACAAGTTTTACATCAGCTGTTTGAACAACTATCAAGCTGAAAGTTTGTGATCATAGCTAAGAATGATTAAAATGTGAAGTGTMATAACTTATTATTCAACCATCTTTAGCCATACAAAGCTGAAGATTATTGTAGAAGTAGCTGAAAGAAATCTTTACCAAATTCTAAATCAAAAATTCAAGATGGCCACCACAGCTACATTTAAAAGTCTATAAATCAGTCATTTTAAGACTTACTGAGATAAAATTTGTTGTGGACAAGCTAAGAATGATCACATGCAGTGTTGTAAAGTAACTGAGTTTTGTTACTGTACTTAAGTAGAATTTTTGGGTATCTGTACTTTACTTGAGTAGATACTTTAAGTCTACTTTTTACTTCTACTTCTTACATTTCCACACAATTGTCTGCGCTTTCTATTCCTTACGTTTTGCAAAAAAGCAAGTAGAAAGTTGTTACTTTTATTTCATTTTTGCTTTTTTTTTTCCATTCCAGCTTATTGTAATAAAATAAATACTATCCATACAAATTGTGCCTCCTAGATAGAGTGAATTTAATTGTGGTTGAATGAAAAACGTGTGTATATATATATAT